AATGCTGCCAAGCTCTCAGGCAAAGTCATCTTTGGGAGTGCTCTGGTAGTTTGAGTGATGGCTTTGCAGAAGGGTGGTAAATGCCTAACAGGATGACAGCCTGCTTTGTTAGGTGTGTTTTCTGGTTCTGCCAACGTGCCAATAGTTTTCTATTGATCAAGAGCCACAGAAGGTTGGTTTTGGGGGGTTTTTTGTTGGTTTTTTTGGGTTTTTTGGCGTTTTTTTTGTGGTTTTGGTTTTTTTTTTTAGATTAAGAAGATACAAAAATGAGCAGCTTAGAAGTGAAAGGGAATGAGGGAGTTCTTAAGTGTATCTACCTAATGCATCCTAAAGGTGGTGTGGGTGGGGAGAAAGGTGTAATGTCATCCTGCTGGTGATTTTTATTTTTTTTTTTTTTTTTTTTTTTAAACGAATGGCTTTTCTTCTAGGAAGGTGCTTCAGCTGATGTCCCATGCAGCACAAATTACTGGACAGTTTCTTCTCTATACTGGAACTTACATGTTGCAGTTGATGGGTGAATATGATGAAGATGGCACATGTGCAAGATCAAGGCGGGAGTAGTGAGCCCAGCTGTGCTTCTGATATTGGATCCTTTTGCTTAAAGACATTCTCTTGCCCGTATTTGATTGTAATGATGTAGGGGGAAATCCACTGATGTAAACTAACGTTTTTCCCGTTTGAGAATGGTTGTAGGCCTTGGTCAAAAAATAAGTGTTTGGTGTCCACAGGCTCTTAATGCCACAAAAGGCTGGGTGCTCAAAGCTGAGAATTTGCCCCAACAGCTCAAAATGGAAAATACTTGGAAACTTGTGTGCTTTGTAACCAGTGGAATGTTTCTTGCACTGATCAAAGCATAATGTGGCTGGATTTTTTCACGGCTGTCTACTTGCCTTCTGAACAGACTGGGCTGGGGTAAGGGGGACTCTGGGTTTTTGGGGTTTTGTTTGTTTGTTTTTTGTTTTGTTTCTAGTCCTTAACGGTGCTGGTATTAGTGCCCAGCTGGCATTGAGGTACAGAAGGGTGAAGTGTACTTATTTACTGCTGCTAACAATGGAACTACTCAATGTAACTTAATCCTGGTTCAGTGACTGACTAACGAAGTCCAATTGGAGAGTGCAACTACTAAGCAGAAACTTAAAATTTAGCCTTACTTCCCTTAAAACAAATAAAAACTTTTCATCGTACTCTTATACTTAAAATCTACAAAGAAATTCAGGTTAGTGTAGCTCATACAAGTTGAAGAACCTGACATGTTTATTTCATGGGTCTGATGTCCAGTTCTGCCTGAAGTATTGAATTATTCACCATAGTTTTATGAATATGGCTTATAAGCAGCCTGTTGAGCTTTCTTCAGGAGTTAAATCATCACTTCTGTAGTTTTTTACTGTTTAGGTACAAGGTGACACAACATCACAAGTTGTACTTGAGGTACAAGCAAGAGATGCTGGCTTTTGATGCCCCTGTGTTTGGGGGCAGCAGCAGGACATGACCTACTCTTGTGTAACATACATATGCTCTAAGCTGGATATTTGCAGTTTTATAGTCTCCCAAGACAAGCTGTATTAAGGGCAAAGTTTTTAATCCTTAAATAGAATTGTCCATATTGTTTTCTACACTTCAGTGAATGGCCAGTATGACCAGCTTTCAGCAAGCTTTTCCTCAACAATGTAGAAAACTGGAAAATGAGCAGTTAGACATCTTGTCAAAATACAAATTCCCACTGCTGAAGGGGAAAAGCCCAGCTTTGTTCATAGGTGTTGCTTTTGAAGTTTTCATTTGATTGCTCATTAAGAATTTTAGTAAGTTGTCATAGTCTTTCTTAAAACCGAAAGCTGTTAAGGAGATGGCAGATACAGGTAAATGTGTCTGACCTCATGGCAGGTGCCACTAGGAAGAGAAGCTATGGTGACAGCATGAACAAGTGGGGCAAGGGAAGAAGGCAATGGGAACAAAAGGGAAAAGACCAATGTGGACCCCACAGTGCTTGCCATACACCTGCTGAGAAAGGAGTCCATTAACTGTGGGCATCAACTGCACTGATCAGTTGGAGGAAAACCTAATCTCCCAAAAAAAAAAAAAAAAGGAGCAGATGGGCTGAAAAGACCAAGCATCATGATTGGTGGGATCTATTCTGACCTGTCAGCTGAGTCTGTTCACTATATGTGGGAATATTGTTCTCAACTTTTATCTGCAAATTCCACCTTTATATGCTTATTTTTACCTTCCCTTTATGGTTGGGACCTAGCCAGCCGGAGCTGCATCTTTCAAATCACTGTTGTGATGAAAAGCAAGTGTTAAAGGTACTGATGGACACAAGATCGGTAGGTCTCCGCCAGTCTCTTCAGTAATGTCAACTAAGTAGACAGCTAAGAAAAACCTTAGGTTTTCCCTGATTTCTGTTGTTTTCCATCTACATCTGACTGATTGCTGGAGGAGGGGGGAGGGCACACTGCTCTAGGCAAGGTGAGGACTGGTTCTTTCCTAATTTCTTGCAGGGAAGAATGTCTGTAGCTTGCAGCACTGTCAGGTTTCCTTCAGAAGAAAACAATCTATTCTGTGAGTAAGAAAGAGGCTATATTAAAATGAAGCTTACTACTTCATCTGTATTGTTCTTGACATCCCACCCACCCAAATGATTGTTACCATGATAATTGTTGGCTCTAGTCTTTCTATCCCTATCAAGGAATTGCATTTAACTGATGGAGTGCAAGGATTTTGTAATTAATTCTTTCAGCTTTAAAGAACCATTTATTCTATTAGAACAAGTACACCTCTTGAAAGCAAACTCTATATAATGCTCCTAGGAATATTTATGTTGGTAATGGTGGGAGCATCAACAAGAAAAATACCCCAACCAACCAAACTTGCACAGTTCAGTACTGCTTTGTATGAATTGCCTTTTGAACATCTGTAATACAAAAGCTTTTGCAAGTCTGAACTGTGCAGATCTCAAATTCCAGCCTTCTATAGCCAGAGGCGATTGTTACAGAACTAACACTTCATAGTTTCCAGTGGCACTATCTGAGAACCTAACATGATCTAAAATGCTAACTCCCTGTGAATTTGCAATGTTTTAAAGCAGCTGCTGCTTTGACAGCTTAAGAGTTAAAACTTGAGCTGCTGAAGGTCATGTGAGCTGTGAAGTCTCCATCTTAGAGCATCTCCCTCTGATTCAAAATGCAAACAACTGAACAAAGTAACTCAGCTTTGATATTTTCTCAAAATGGGAGAAGTGACTTGGAAGTCATAGCAGTCTGAATTGCTTCACTGCTGCTGAATTTGGGTTTTGCCACAGGCTTAGTATTTGGGGGATGATACTTCCTACTGTACCAACTTCTTTCCAGAGATAAAGTTTTAGCTTTGGATCAGACTGGAGGAGTTTATCATTCTCTGAGTTGGAACCAGTTTAATTTTATTTTTCACAGTCTGCTTGGGAGGCACAGCTTTTAATTAAACTGTGCATGTGGTACACAGTAAAGAGCAACTTCAGCATTATCTGTCTCTCAGCAAATTATATACAAGTGGTGTACAATATCTAGCAAGAAACAGAAAAACTAAAAGCACAGGCTTTTAACTGCAGATATGTAGAGAAGCAGCTAGCTTTTCTACTTGTCATTTTTAACTTTAGTTTTTCTTTCCATAAACTCAGTTAATCTGCGCTTGTTACTTGTTGCAGTCAAGGCTGGGAGCAGTGACATGTTGAAGGTGTGAAACATGTTTACTGCCTCCTTGCTTGCACTGACCCTTTTTGCCTGTTGCTTTGCATCACTTGCTAACAATGCATCAAGTCATACTCTCCAGTTACCAAAAAAGGAATTTTCACTGAAGTACTCAATCTTGTTGACTCAGGCACTGTTCATGTTCTGCAGGCAAAACAAAGTTGCTCTCTTTGTGACTAGAATGAAGAATCTTGTAGGTTTTTTGTATGCATAATTTATCATTACTTAATTTCCTTCCTTTCATAAACCCATGAAGTTGTTGCTTTCTTGCACCTTCCTATTATTTCAGGAAAAATAAGATTACAAGCTCTTCTGTCCAGGGGGAGAGGAAAAGGCAGGATTTAAATTCCTTAGACCATTTTGAATATGCTCTAGGAAACATTCTGAATCCCTTCCTGAAAGAGAAGGATAAAGAAAGGAAAGTAAGACTTTGAGCTGGAAGTTTTTTCAGTACAGTAAGTAGAGAGGTAGGTATTCACAATTTAGGAAATGTTGTAGGAAATGTAATTCTGAATATTAACTGTGATGATAACTACATGTGATCATTTGTAACTGACTAGAATTCTAACTCTAAATCATTTCAGCATGCTTCTTCCTGAGATGGCACTTGAACTGAAGGCACAAGCTTATTTAAGTGAAAACAAACAAAAAAAAAAAAAGCTTAAAACCAAAGTACAAAGTGTATTTTTGATTTGATGCCTCAAGTTTTACTGGAGGTATTAATGTGATTAACATACCACTTCAGCTATATATTATCATCCTTATGGGGTTTAGAGATTATTACTGCTTTCCCTACCTTACCCTGTCATATATGCAGTTAAGGTATTTATAATCATGAGGATTGCTACTTTGCTAAGGGAAAAGATAGTATTTTACTATGTCAAAATTTTCAAGCTCAGTAGTTTAACTTGCTATGAAAATTGAGATGGGTGAGAATTGTGTCAGTGATGGCAGTATTTTCTGATGCATGGTGCCAATTTTAAGGAACACTGTCCATGAATAAATAAAACTAAATGGTGGCTTTGGATGTCGTCTCTATTAATTTCCAGAATAACTTATTCCTGAAATAATCTTGAATGTTAATGGATCTGTGGTCTGGCACAGACAGTATCCAAATGCTGGACTGTGGCAGTGAAGTAGCTGGGTACTATTATGTGGCTCTGAATTCTTAACTCTACTGCTGACTCACTTTCTGGCCTCAGAGAAACTGTATAAACTGTGTTTCCTTTCATACAAAAGGAATGCCTTCCTCCATCTTTTACCAAAGCTGCAAAAGATTGTAAACTACTGACTATAGGAGATAGAAGGCTTTGACAATCTAATTTTCACTAAATACTGTAAGGATCAAGGATCTCTTATAATGCCTCGCAGAAACTCCTGCAGTTTTTTATCTAAAGCTACAGTAGCACATATTTGATAGCAGGGAAATATGAATTTAGTGAAATATTAGATTTGTCTAGCTCAGGATTAACTTAGTCCTCAAAAGGAGTAGCATGTAAGTGTGATCAGTCTAGCATATTTGTATACTTGCAGAGCTTGACTACTGAGCAGTTCACCTCTTGTGGGAGAACTGAGGTCTGACTTCTGCAAAAGCACAAAATAGTGCTGTACGGGGTTTAGTGGGAAGCTTTTGGCAGTGGGAGGTGAAGAGGTGCTGTGGGGGTGACCTCTGTGAGTAGAGACCTGGGGCTGCCTCTGTGTTGTACAGAGCTGCTTCCAGCTGGCTCCAAAATGAACCCACTATTGCCCAAAGCTGAGCTCTTCAGCCACTTTGCTGCCTCTGTGGAAACACATTTAGGAAAGGGTAAAAATGCTGTCAGCAGCTGTGAGACAGGACTAGAAAAATGTGAGAGAAACAACTCTGCAGAGAGCAAGGTCAGAAAAGGAGGGGAAGAGGTGCTCCAGGTGCTGGAGCAGAGGCTCTCCTGCAGCCCGTGGTGCAGACCATGGTGGGACAGGCTGTGCCGCTGCAGCCCATGGAGGTCCATGCTGGGCAGATACCCACCTGCAGCCTGTGGGTCCTGATGCCACAACAGGTGAGCATGCCTAG